CGCTGCACCGTACCAACCCCCCCTAAACCTTCCTGCAGGTGGTGAGTCCACTGGAAGGTACCAACCACCACAACTGGGATTCAAACTTGTCCAGAAGGTGAACCCTGGGGTTCCACACCAATGACAGAGACATTGACTCTGGGCCAAAGCGCCAGTAACATCACATTAGTAATATTTAAAGTTTTTTTTTCAGCAAGATTTCAAGTGTCATGCATGATCTCCACCACATGGGGCAGCAGGAGTCCTCACCAGCTGTTGAACCCGGTGGGTCTCAGGTGTCGCTCCAGGTCCTCCTGGTTCCTCTTGCACGCCTCCATGTTAAGGTACTTGAAGATGTGGTATTTGCCCTTGGAGCAAATCTGCGCCGGCGGCATCTGCAGCGGATTGTTGTCCAGGGAGATGGTCTGAAGGTGTCGCAGGTGGCGGTAGCACAGGGGCACGTGGGAAATGCGGTTGCAGGAAACATCGAGCCGGACAAGAGGGAGCTCGGCGATTTCTGCGTGGAGCAGAGGTAAAGTTGCGTGAAGATTTGTTTGTTTCCTTTTTCGGGAAACTTTTCGGAGCAGATATTGAGCGTGAAAACATTAGTTTGAAAGCCTTTGAATTACGGAACCACTCCAGCGCTACTTTGTCTCTGCTTGTTATTTTCTTTCTATTTCCTCCTAATGCCTGAGAGAAGGAGTGACTAATGGGATGGGAGCCATTAAAGCAGAGTCAGGAGCGGCTCGATACTTTTACTCGTAATCAATCGATAGCTTCAAAAATAATCATGCAATTATCGGGCTTCAACAGGGCACTCTGCACGCTTTGCATCGTCATCAGCTTAGTAAAACATTGGATCGATCGATACTGCTTGGTACTGACAACTGTACTGTAGTACTGCAAATGGTATTGGTGATGTTACAGTGGTAACATCATTATCCAGGATATAAAAACATCAGTTGCCTCACATACAAAGACTTGCATGGATTTCCGACTGAAACCATAAACTGGCGAACGCATGAAACATGACTGAAACCATAAACTGGCGAACGCATGAAATAAAAGAATCAGATGTATCCAAGCACGTGTCGCTTGAACATCCCAATGAATGTGGAATTGAGCACACACGCAGCGCTGCATGACGACATATTCATCCACTCCGCTTGCCAATGAGTTCTTGTGCGAAACTTGTTTGTAGACTTGTAGACTCAAGCTCTCGAAGAAGGCGGACGCTTTTCCCCTTGCTCCCTCCCTGCCCTTATCTGCCCTGCTACTACTCTGTGTCTTGTACCGTCTCTGTCAAACTATCTCGGAGCCTCTCTCTGCATTTTCCTCCAAAATCAAAATGATGGATCAGGTCAACTGGTCTCTCAACGCAATTGATCAAATTGATCAAATTTTCGCAATTGATCAAATTTTCTCAACCATGAAAATGGGTAAAGGAGACCCCGCCTGCCCTAACGGAACCTTCCCGGCCGGGTACACGTTGGACTCCTGGGAGAGATGGAGGATCGTGTGCCTGTCCACGCTTTCCGTGGAGGATGTCGAAGACGTGTACCTATTTGGATTTATGATGGCAGGTTTTCTGCTGATTGGCCTGGGCACCTTCCTGTTCCATCGTGAAA